TGGAGCCAGCTCCCAGTTTGGATTTGGGAGACAGACACCCTCTCTACTTTTAAGATTAAGCTCTAAGCTTTTCTTCTTTTAATTTTTAATATTTTTATTTATAAAGCTTATAGATCAGACTGGCTAAGGTGATCCTCAATCTCTTAGTTACACTAAAATAGGTGTAGGCTGCTGGAGACTTCCTGTGATTCACTGAGTGTTTTTCTTCAGTCTCTATGTGTTTATATTGATTGATTGATTGATTGATTGATTGATTGATTGATTGATTGATTGATTGATTGATTGATTGATTGATTGATTGATTGATTGAATCTTTATTTTGAACATGTTGAAAAAGTACAACAAAATAGAATTAAAAGAGACAAATGAACAAAGCAAAACAAAAGGAAAACGAGCAACCACAACTCCAAATAACTTTCATGTTCAAAAAGGAGCAGGAAGAAGCATAAGCTTATCCCACCCCTTTTCCACTATCTAGTAATCAGTAGACTACAGAAATACTTCCTTGCAATTACATTATATGTCATGTGTATTTTTTTTTTACACACCAGTTTTTTATACACCAGTTTGCATTTAATCACTAGTTATTATTAATTAAAAAAAATGTTATTTCACATGTATAAAGGTAGGTAAATCTCACTGAGGCAAGAGGTCTCATATTTTAATAAATTTATTGTTGTTCTCTTCCACAGTATGATCGGTTTCCTGAGCCTGGATCTGCTGCAGGTTTCTTGCTGTTAAAAGGGAGTTTTTCCTGTCACCAAGTGCTTTTTCATAGGGGGTCATCTGATGGTTAGGCTTTTCTCTGTTTTATTGTGAGGTCTTTACCTTAAAATTTAAAGTGCGTTGAGGTAACTTTTGTTGTGATTCAAAATAAATAAAACATAACTGAACTGGATTATGCTGAGTAAGAAGAAATTCTTCTGTGACCACTAGACAGGACAGACTAACAAACACAATCAGGAGCTTTTATCCAGTGTTTCAGCTGAGTTCGTCACACAATGATTGGATCACCGTGCACCAGCAACCCCCACACCACAGCTGTCCCTCTCCAACAGCCAATCAGAAGTCTTGTCATTGTGTACAAACAAAAAAGTTTTGCGCCCTGCAGCCTTTAAATCAACCTGCAGTCAAGTATGGAGCAGAGCAGAGTGCACCACCACTATCTCCACCAAAAACTTAACCATTTGAAGGATGGAGCCCACCAGGCACAGGGAGTCTGTTTGCAGGAGCTTGTTTGGCCCGGTGGACCACAGCCAGCTGCGCCAGGACTTGAAGCTGAAGGTTAAGGAGATCATTGAGCAGGACAGGCGGCGCTGGAATTTTAACTTCGAGTGTGAAACCCCGCTGCCCGGCCGGTTTCAGTGGGAGGAAGCCGCACGGCCGAAGGACGCTGCCCACCGTTCAGGTGGGGACAGGCCGAGCGACGGCGAAGACGGCGCAGGGACCGACCAGGAGAACTGCTCCAACATCACCAACAAGCGCAAGAGTCCCACTGAAGAGATGCTCCACAGGCTCTCCAAACCGGCAGCCAGTCTCAAAGACAATGCACGGATCACAGGTACAGGAAAATGAGTCCCGTGAGCTTTTGTTTGTTGGCTTATCGACAAATGTAATGCCAAGATATTGACCAATCTCGCGCTCCGATTTTCAGATTATTTCGCAAAGAGAATGAGGACAACAACAAGAGCCAAGAGCATCCCGAATCATTTTCACGTCGGTTCTAATGAAGCAGCTCTGCGCAAGACTTTAAGACTTTAAGATGAACATGCAGCTGAAAATGACTATTTGTTTTCATGGACTTGATCCCCACAACAAATTATTTTATTTTATTTTATTGTATGTTGGTGGATTTTATTTATTCTTTTTTTTCTTTAGCAGTTTTTTGGTTTTTTTTTTTGAGATTGCATCTCTATTTATTCTATTTATGGATGTTATGAATGTTCTTCACTGGCATTTAAAAAAAATCTGTTATACACTCGTGCTGCTAATCTAACTTGTTCTAAAAAAAGCACTATTTTGTTAGGTCATTATTGTTATATAAAATGAATATGTAGCACATTTCTGTGCATATTACAGTTTTAATAAACTGTGATTATTGATCATTACATTTTATGCCTGTTGACTCTTTTTAACACCAGGAAACTTTTCGTGTAAAGTAACAAATTTGTGATAGTTTCATTTTCATCTCCTATATCAAACCTTTTTAATGTGAATTTTATCTCTAAAAACTCTTTCTTTGATAAAAATCAGACATAGCCATTCAGAAGCTCATGCATGATTGCCAGTCAATACTTTACAGATCTATACTTGTCTAAGACATACATTGAGAACTGCAGCACATCAATAATACACAATGTAAAAACTACAGATTGGTAATATCCAATACAATGTCCACCACATTTTGCACTGTGACAGTTTGCTGACACTGAATAGAGCTTAATCTTTTTATCCTCCGGCTGTCAAACGTGTTGTCAGTCTTGTCTTTATATGCAAGACACCGAGACTGCTTTTTCTTACACTAAAATGTTCATCTATTTATAGCCGTGCCCTTTGGTGAACAGATTTCAAAATTATTGGTTTTTCAATATGATTGCAGTCTTATGAGAGAGTACATCTTTAGTGTTTTTTTGCTGTCTTTGCAGCAGACACAGATGAGTAGGTTAATAAGTCTCTCTCTTTCGCTCTCTCTCTGAAGTCATAGAAGAAAAAAAACTATTCGGGTTGTAAGTTTAGCAATTCAAAGAAGAAAATTGTTTCAGAGTAATTGCATTTTCTGGGTTCTATTATGAGATATTTCATAATCACAATTGTAAGAAATGTGCCGTCAGGCTTTAAATTATATCCATTAATATAAACTGTAATTGCCAAATTAGCCCATTAGAAAAGCCAAATCCCACATAAGTATGTGCACTCCTGCAGTGTTGGGGTTTCAGCTCTAAAGAACTTCAATAGGCCATCTGGCCTGAGAGCAGGATAATAGCAACAAAGCAGAGCGTGCCATCTATTTCACCTGCAAATCAGCCTTTGGCACTCCTCGACCCCCCCACCCCC